TCCTGCTGCTTGAGTGTTTTTTCCCCCTGCTGTAAGTGTCACGGGCCTACCCCTGCTACTTGAGTGCTTTTCCCGCTGCAACCCGCAAAGTCGCGGCCCCTGGTAAGTACTAGCCCTACAGGGCCTCCCAAGCAAGCAAGTACCCTTGAGGGTCACACACACACACTCAGGCCGACAAGCACTCAGACAGGCAGGCAGACCGCCAACTATGCACACACACAGACTTAGAAACTCGGCAGAATGCGGGAATCGCAGCAAGCCATCCATTCCATCGGCAGAACTCAGAAATCAGCAGTGTACTCAGTCTGTGTTATGGCGGGTCATTACATTTTTGTTTTTTGTTCAGTATTGTGCCTGACACCTCTTGCAAATTGAGGGTCCTTCTAGTGCTCAGCCAACCACCCTTGAAACCTAAGGTTTTGCAGGCTGGGGAATCGGGCGGGGATTTCAAACCGCAAGTACCTCTTCCCCTATGTCGGCTGCCGAAGAAATTATTGTGGAAGCGGTTCCACTCCCCTGAATTTGGTTCCACTCCCCTGAATTTGGGCGCTCTCGGCCTCTCCCGTTCGTTTAGCCTGCATCCGCTGCTTTAGGCAGTACTGGTGGTTCAAGAGCAACTCCTGAAACCCCTTTCTGACAGCTGTAATTTTTGGGCTAACACCTTCAAGAGGCTGTGTGGCGGTGCAGAGACAGCTCTTGAAAGAATTTTTGGCGTAACACCTTAAAAAAAAAAAAAAAAAAAGGGGTAAAGTATTACGCCAAAAAATCCTTCAAGAGCTGTCTCTGCACCGCCACACAGCCTCTTGAAAGGAGTTTTTTTTTTTTTTTTTTTTTTTTTTTTCATGAGAACAACCCGAGGTGGTGGTAGGGGTGCGCTGATAAGAGCAGACACCGCTATCACTCTCGGGGAGGCTCTGCACCTGCTGGAAACCGGGTCCAGACCCGTCCCAGAACAACATATTTCGTTGTTTACACAGACATTTGTTAGTGGTAGTCGGCAGGTGTATAGTCCATCCTAGAAGAAAGCGACTTGTCTATCAGGCTACACACCTACCCAATATCCTACGTTTTGAAGAGTGGTTTGGTGAGGCAATGCAATGAACAGAATTTCCCCTCTATTGGGGGTAACTTCAGTAGAATCAGACAAAAGAGGTATGATTGTGCTATGGGGCAACATACAGTTTGCAATTGCACTTCAGGCACCCTACCTGGCCAGAAAGCTGGGTTGTATACATTGGGCAAACTGGAATTGGAAACTGTGTCTTGGCCCGTAGTGCAATTATAACCGTGGTAACCGACCGGACCGGGTTCCAGACAGTCGGGAACAACATGCCCGGGTCCGGTGTCCGGTCCATGGTGTCTGGATGGAGGCCCCTGCAGCAAAAATCGAAAAAAAAAACAAAAGGGGGCGTCCCAGGACAGTTTTCGGGTCCTGGTCGCTCCTTAAGAAATAACGGGGTGATTTTTGAGTGTCGCTTTACCCCACCGGACAGGGCCTCGAGGTTCGGACACAAGACACTGCAGGTTTTTGGGGTGGCGGGTTTCACACAGGCCCAAGCAATTTCAAAGCGGCCGTTTTGATGTGCTGCCCGCTGCCACTGCCCGTTGTCGAGAGAGAGAGAGAGAGAGAGAGAGAGAGAGAGAGCACTGACAGTGCTGCCAGTCTGAAGACTCTGACATTCAGAATTGAACTGCAAAGTTTGAACTTTTCAGATATATATATATATATATATATATATATATATATATATATATCGTCATATATATATTATGAACTTAAAAGTGAATCCCCTGTGGAAAATTTGGTTCGACCTATCCTCGGGGATGAAAATGAAAAACATAAGTGAAAACATTTCCTTGGGGAATCCTCGGGGCGTCCTCGGGCTACAGCCATTTGGTGGCATTGTCCCTTGGAGGTCAAGGGTCCGTGATGATCGGAGCGGCGAGGGCACCCGTCATCGGCAAGAAATTGTCGTCAGCTGGTCCATTGGAGTTCCTACTAGGCAGCGCACGGACATATTTGGTTTTCAACGTTCGGCTTCCAGGAACCTTATGCCAACGGTAACCGTTGGTGGCCGGCCGGCCCCCGTCTACATCGTCGACCAGTGTTCTCCCTCGCAGTGCGTGCCGCCAAACGGAAAGGGGTCGAACGGTCGGCAAATTTGAATACTTCAGCCGACCCCCCTTGCTACAATTGCCCACTGTATTCAGCGACGAAAAACGTTACAAGGTGTTTGTCCCATGCTGCGGTTTGCCGTTGCAGCCCTCTTCGTCGCCATTTGCTGGAGGTGTACCGTCGCCGTCTAGCTACTGCCCTTCCCCACTTGGCTTTCATGGTCGACGTCTTTCGAATGCTGCCGCTGCTGCTCCTGGTCAGCCTTTTGCTTGTCCTTGTCGTCTTCTTCCACGTCTGCATCCTCGGCAGGGTGCCTGGACATACAGGTAAGAGGCAGTCTGCGAGGAAGGACGTCAGCATGACGGGCGACAGGCGAAGAGCAGGTCTTCATTGGACCACTCCAGAAGCCACCACGCAGGCCACGGCCCGGCTCGCAGCGCAAGGGTGTACGACCCGTTAGAGTGTGTGTGTCGTATGCTGTCCTCTACCGTCTGCTCCTTTCATCGTCGCTGTTCGATGGACCTTTTTTATGTTTTTCTGGCTGCAGAAGAACGCTGCCCATCTCTTTTATGTTTTTCTGCTTTCATCCTTTTGGGCCTCGCACAACTACTCAGCATTAGACGTGTACGTGGACTTGTCTCTCGGCCAGACACACTTCGACTGATTGCACATCTTGAGGGTATATTTGGACCACGGGTGTGTCCCAATACATTTAGATTGTTGCCCGCTGCAGCCAGGCCCTTGGACTTGGGTTGCAGACCACGAGTCCAAGGTTTGAGCTTGGCCCCTCGTTGTTTTTGTTTTTTTTTGTTTGTTTTTTCCTCTCAATTTCACCTCACACTACCTACCTATACCACTACTCCTGTTTTATTAACATGAAAGCTGGAAAAACATGAAAGCTGGGAAGCGGGCCCCGCGAAAAGTCGCCGCAGTCCTGAGCGAGGCTCTCCGGCCAGGCAAAGCTCATGCCACGACTGTGTCAAGGGCAGAAATCCTTCTTCTCTTGATCTCTTCTACCAGTTGTAGGGATTATTCTTTTTTTTTTTTTTTTTTTTTTTTTTTTAATAAACATGCCCCCCCTGCGGTGCTAGTGGTACTGATAAGATCAGACACCACTAGCACCCAGGGAGAGGCTCCGTCTATTGGTGGAGAGCATCACCTGCTGGAAAATGGGTCCAGCGTCCCTTTACATAATGAATACAAAATGAATACAAAATGAATACAGGAAGTTGACTGTGAAACCTGCCAGCATTGATTACTCTGGTTTCCAAAGGATTGACTGTGTAGGTAGTTAAGGGGGGGGGGAGGAAACCTCTTCGCCCTTATACCAGGCGCCAGATATCTACTGCTAAAAAACTAGTCCCTCCCTCCTTTTTAAATTACTAAGTAGAAATGAAGAATCAAAACCACGCTTTGATCAATGTAGAGAACATACCCTTTCCAGCATTTATTGCCCTGTATTCCAGGGGATTGACTGAGCAGTGCAAGAAGTACTCTGGAAGAGCAACAGGGAAAGGAAAGTCTCTTCAGCTCATTAGGACCTCCAAATAGAGTCTAACTTCACCAGCAGCGTTCTTCTGTAACCTATCCTTTTCTTTTTTTTTTTTTTTTTTTTTTTTTTTGTTAACCTATCCTTTCCAAGTATTGAGGAATTAATATCTGATCATAGGCCAAGTACTGCCTTGTCTGCTTTTTTTAATGTGGTCCTATGATCAGATATTAAACCACAAGTACTTGGCCCAGCTGTAGGCCGCGGAAAAAAAATAGAGTAGAAACGTTTCTAGTCCGATGAATTTGGGCGGATGAATTTGGGCGGATGAATTTGGGCGCTCCTATAGTAGACCGTACGTTTCCTATAATCGTGGCGCGTTAATTAACACGACTCTACGAAGATCAGATGGACCACTGAGGACCTATGGATCACTGAGCAGGGGCGAGGTCCCACTAGCAAAGAGGATTTGATTGAACCCCTTAATTTGGCCGCGTTTGTGGACAAGTGCAGAAAATAGAGATTGAACTCCATTTCTGCATCGCTGCCTAAAACACGTCCAGATTCAGGATATTTATCCAATCCTCTTTGCTAGTGAGACCTCGCCCCAGAACAGATAATACACTTGATATTACTTAGCCAAAAGGCCGAGAAAGGTTTTTTTTTTTTTTTTTTTTTTTTTGGAGGACTGAACCAAAAAGCTTTGGCCTACTAGAAGCAACAGGAAGCAAAAGTATGGAAATTTCGTTTGTGTCTTTCGTTAAAATTTGTAAATTTTTTTTTTTTTTTTTTTCGAGAAAGGTATTAGGTGATGTTCTCAATAGATTGGAGCTTTTGAGATAATTGGGAAAAAAAGAAAAGAAAAGAAAAACAGAAGCAACGGGGACATGTCCCACTACAGTCTTCCGCCGAACATAACGCAACGCGATCTTGACTGTATTGGACCAGAATGCTCGCTTGTATACATTCATAAGCAGGGCGCGTTTTGCTCGCCGGGGCAAGACGGAACTTTTCAAGTAGTTTTTGATGTGGCCACAATCCGGCCGAGAGATGCTCAGATCAGATGGCAAGAACCCGTGCGTGCGTACTCGTAACCAAGCCTTCCGTCCCCCCTCCCCCCTCCCCCCTCCCACCTCCCACGTCTAGGGGGAAAAAAACAACTTAGAGTCCTCCCCCTCTTCTCAGATCGGATGGCAAGAACCCGTTCATACTCGTAACCAAGCCTTCCCTTCCCCCTCCCACCTGTCCCGTCTAGGGGGAAAAACGCTTTAGAGTCCTCCTCCTCTTTTGTTTTTTTCTTCTCCCTTTTTGGTATCCCATGGACCACCAACCAGATATTTAAACCGATCACCAGAACAGACTCTCCACTTGACCTTTGGCCTGAAGACGACGGCTCTGTGTGTTTGTGTGTGTGTGTGGAGAGAGAGAGAGAGAGAGAGGAGCAGCCATCGCCTCCATCGTGATCGTGAATCGGATTCAATTTGTTATCTGTGAGAATCTGAGTGAAGGTTCCATCGTGGCCGTCCATTAACGATGATGATGACGACGACGATGAGGAGGATGAGGATGATGGAGCGGGCTGTCGGTGGTGCTAAGAGCGAGCGCAGGTCGTTGTTGTTGGTGAGCTTGGCTATGGCGGTCGTTCTCTTCGGCACACTTGTCCTCAGCGCGGAGGAAGACGATGGCGGCAGCACGGCCAAGCTCCTTGGTGACCCTGGCTATGGCCGCCCAGGGCCATACCCCATCTCTCGAGTGCTCAAGCGCAACTTCAGTGTGCCCAATGCGACGACGGGATGCCGGCAGGGATCGACTGACCTCTGCCCTCAAACGGTTAACCTCTTCTTCCCCACCGTCGCGAAGCTAAGTCGCAGTCCCGATCGTTCCCATTGTGGGGATCTCAACCGAGTAGCAGGGGAAGGGGTGGGAGAGTCGGCGTTCCGTGGACTTTCGCTGCTCTGCGATGATGGGGAGAGAGAGGAGCGAGAGGAGAGAGAGGATGGAGAAGGAGGAGAGGTACTTGGAGAAGCAGCTGCTGCTGCTGCTGCTGCTGCTGGTGCTGGTGCTGGTGCTTGTGCTGATGCTGGTGCTGCTGCCGCCATAGCTGCTGCTGCTGCTACCTCAGGCTTTCCTCTGGCCATCTTCAGTCCTGGCTTCATGCTGAGCGCCGACTTGTACTTTGGCTATGGAGAAATCCTCGCGTCTTGGGGATACGTAGTCGTCGTCTGGGAGCCAAACACTGAAAGTGTCTTGAATTATCTGACACACAGGTAATTGCCGCCTCTTATTACTTTTTTTTTTTTTTTTTTTTTTTTTTTTTTTGGACAACAAGGCTCCAATCTATTGGTGGGGAGCATCACCTGCCGGGAACCGGGCCCGGCGTCGCACACAAAAGAAGGGGAAGAGGGGAGAAGAAAAGGGATTGTTGTTGTTATTATTATTATTTATTTATTTATTTATTTTACTATTGTTATATTACTATTGTTATGACTATTACTATATTGTTATTAGTAGTAGTAATTTATTGTTGTTATTATTATTATTACTATTATTAATATTATTATCGACTGGGTCACATTAGTTGGGTAGAAGGTCCCTGTAAAAAAAAAAACAGGAAAAAAAAAAAGGAAAACAAAAACTTTGTTTTGCAGAAAAAAAAAAAAAACAACTTTTTTTTTTTTTTTTTTTTTTTTTTTTTTGCCTCAGGTAGCCCTCGATTGCGAGAGGTAGCTAGAGGTAGCTATGCTTGCAGGGGTCCCCTGAGGCGAGGTCCCACTAGCAAAGAGGATTGGATTGAACCCCTTAATTTGGCCGCGTTTGTGGACACGTGCAGAAAATCGAGATTGAACTCCTTTTCTGCATCTCTGCCTAAAACACGCCCAGATTCAGGATCTTAATCCAATCCCCTTTGCTAATGGGACCATGCTCCTGTATAGGCTTAGGAGTAGTGGTAGGTAGGTAGCGAGAGGTGAACTTGAGAGATTTAAGTAAATATAAAAAGAATAAATAAAAAATAAAATAAAATATTGTTTATGTTCTTTTTTGGCCTGGCCGGGCAAACGGTCCCGGGAACTCTCTCCCACATGCACCGTTGAGTTCAGCTAGCTCAACGATGTGACAGCATTTAGTTAGTTTTTTTAAGTCGTTTTAAATGAATAAATTAACTGTTAATGAATTGTTTATTGTCGCCGATTCCGTTTTTCTGGGATTTGATGTTCTCGTAAATTAATTTACATGTTTCCTTCCGGATCACGAAAGTGGGCGCAGTTATTAAAAAAAAAGGAAAAAATAAAGAAAAATAAAGAAAACAAAAAGAAAAAAGAAAAAAAAGAAAAAAAGGAAAAAAGGAAAAAAAAACGAAAAAAAAAAACACGATTCGAACGAATGATCTGTTCATCTGACTTCATGAACGTTGAACAGATGATTAGTTGGAATAGATCATTCATTAGCTTGTTTTAGAACCGAATACAACGTGCGGTCGTTATATCTGTATTTGGAGCATCTTTCAGTCTAAATACAGCATCATGATCGTTCGTTGTATGCGGGGGAAGAAGAAGGTAGTTCGAATCTGTACCGCGGGGGGGGAGGAGGCGGGGGGTTCTCAATACAGTATAGTAGAACAGAAACAAGCAATGGTGGACACTTGCTTTCCGACACACAATCCATTGAATGTAGACACACAATCCATTGAATGTAAGCAGTACTCAGACATAGGTAATTGCTTGTTTCTACTCTACTCTACTCTACTCTACTCTACTCTACTGTATTGATTACCTCAGTACTGCTTGTTTCTACTCCTCTACTCTACTCTACTCTATTGACTACCTCAGTACTGCTTGTTTCTACTCAGTGATTGATCTCTACTGTCCTCTACTCTGCTCTGCTCTGCTCTTCTCTCCTCTGCTCTGCTCTGGTAGGGGACTCGAGGGATATGTTACAGTGGTTCCTCCTCTGAACCTGGCCCGATTCCTGGCCAGGCTCAGAGAAGGCACTACACTGGTGTAGTGAAGAAGGAAGGCCAACCAGAAAAAAAGCCTTAGGCAACTATTTCTGTAATAGACTTTCTTTTTTTTTTTGACAAAGAGCAAACCAGAGGAGCTGAAAATCATTATGATCTCTTCTAATTCCATCGGTTGAAGGGAACAGACATCTACTACGCTCTTCCCCCCCCCCCTCCCCCCCTTCTCAATCCACGTGATTTGCAAGTAACTTACATTAATTTAATAATATAATAGGCTACAGAAGGGCGATTCTACTGTAGGCAGCAGGAACAGATGGAACATCCTCTTTCAGTCTCAGTATGCCAATCGTCATCCCCCCTCCTCCCCCTCCTCCCCCACCCCCCCTTCCTCCCATTCTGGCCATCTTGCATCAGCAATTCACTCATTTTCCCCACTGGCAGGCAACCTGCGACCACGATCAGTCTTAACACACTGCCACATGGCACTGCTGCAAAGGAGGGCGAGATTCTTGCGACTCCTACTACGGCGATCCAGGCGTGTAAGGTTGCCTCTGTGTGTGTGTGTGTGTGTGTGTGTGTGTGTGTGTGTGTGTGTGAGAGAGAGAGAGAGAGAGAGAGAGAGAGAGAGAGAGAGAGAGAGAGAGAGAGAGAGAGAGAGAGAGAGAGAGAGAGAGATTCGAACCAGCAGTTCATGAGGCAGGCTTTGTGCAAAGAACCGCGACATTAATATAGACATACCCACCAGGTAGGCCAAGTTACGTCTATCTGACGGAGAAGATAGAGTAGCATGGGCCGTGCGCAGCGATTGAATCGAGAAATGGTCCCAACAAAAGAGAATGGAAAAAAGAGTTACGGACTTAAACCGCTGGCTCTCTCCTTTCATTTTTATAATCTCTCTCTCTCTCTCTCTCTCTCTCTCTCTCTCTCTCTCTGTCTGTCTCTCTCTCACAGCACAGCCCCTCGTTTGTTGTCTCTCTCTGCCTACGGTTTACCGGGCAGTTCTGTTTGTGACGATATATATATATATATATATATATATATATATTGTCAAACAGAGCTTCCCGGTAAACCGTAGGCAGAGAGGGACAAGAGGGAGAAGAGGACAACAAACGAGGGGCTGTGCTGTGACAAACTGTTTCGTCGGAGTTTCACCGACTCATCAGGAGGCTGAACCCTCAACAGCCTGCATATATATATATATCGTCAAATAGAACTGCCTACGGTAAACCGTAGGCAGAGAGGGAGGGAGAAGAGGACAACAAACGAGGGGCTGTGACAAACTGTTTCGTCGGAGTTTCACCGACTCATCAGGAGGATATGTATGAGTGTGTGTGTGTGAGAGAGACTTGAAGCGCTGGCTTTTATTCCAGTCCGTCAGTCTTCCGTCGGTGGGTCGTGACAATCCACTTGCTGTAGATGAGCCTCAGCCACTATGTCCATGGCATTTGCCAGGGATGATGCCTTTTGCGATGAGAGCGTAAACACTAGCTCTATAGTCAATGTATCTGACCGCATTTACGGCCGGACCTGGATGTATCTGACCGCCGCTTTGTCCAGAAACAATTAAAAGAGTTCTAGTGTGAGCATGCCCTGAGTCACCCAGGAGGACAACCACGGCCTTGAAACAGACGATCAAAAAGGGACAAAAAAAAAAAAAAAAAAAAAAACCTGGACAAGTAGCAGATTCTCACCTATTCGGGAGGCGGATAGGTGAGTATGCCCTTATCGAGCTGCATGCATGCAGTTGAAGTCCTACTGGCCTACTGTGGACGTAATTGCGGCCAGATGCATGCATCCTCTTCAGCTCCTTTGTCCGTCTTCTAGAGATGGCAACCGTTGTCCTTGACTCTCTCTCTCTCTCCCTTTTCTCCTTGAGTCTCTCTCTCCCTTTTCACCTTTGAGTCTCTCTCTCTCCCTTTTCACCTTTGAGTCTCTCTCTCTCCCTTTCACCCTTTTCTCCTCTGCAACCAGCTTTTCACCTTTTTGTCTCTCTCTCTCACTTTTCTCCTCTCGAACCAGCTTTTTCTCCTTGGAGTCACTCTCTTTCCGGGTTAAAAAAAAAAAAAAAAAAAAAAAAGTCTCCCTTTTCTCCTCTTCAACCGGGAGGGGCGGAGGAGAGACTGCGTCCGTCTTCTCCTTGTCCCATCAACGAACGAATATCTCACTTATGCTACATCAATGAATCGAAAATCGAAGAAGGCAAAAAGAAAAGAAGAAAAGAACTACATGGGTCCCACAAAAAAAATAAAATAAAATAAAATGATAGACTAAATTCAATACTAATAAATCAGAAATACTAATAAATTACGGAGTAATCCGACTCGTGATCTCCAGAGGTTGCAAATCATTTAATTCATGAATAATTCATGTAATTAATGGAGAATAAATTGAATAATTCATGTAACTTATGATCACGCCAAATCTGATGAGAAACCTTTTTTTTTCCCCTTAAAAAAAAAAAAAAAGAGGATCAAAGAACTGGCCCTTAGATCAGCAGAACACCACCATAGCCGTTGACGATCGGTACACACAGCCTTGACAGGAAGACGGCTATGGATCAGATTAATGGCCCTCAGATCAGCAAAACACCACCAAAAAGGGATCAAAAAGGGGTCAAAAAGGGGTCAAAAAGGGGTCAAAAAGGGGTCAAAAAGGGGTCAAAAAGGGGTCAGAGACGGAGCACAGCGATGAAATGAAGTCGAACAACGATGGTTATGCATCATTACATGAGCAGAAAACAACCATAGCCACGTTGGTGCACCGATGGGTGTCTCTTTTTTTTTTCTTTTTTTTTGGTTTCTGAGAAGAAAACACTTGCTGTATATTTCTGGGACGGCTCCACTACGGTTGCTTATCCCCCGCCAAGCATGAAATAACAGACTCAGAGTGAGGAGAAGATTAGCAAATGGCCCCTGCGCAAGGATCACACGTCGCATCAATCGAGAAATCCTCCAAATTAAAAAAAAAAAAAAAAAAAAAAAAAAAAAAAAAAAAAAAGATCACTGACAACATAGCATCATAAAGTAACTGATCAATTACTAGCGGGAGACTGCTTATAAAAAAAAATAAAATAAAATAAAGTACCCAGTCTGTCCTACCCCTTTTCGGCCCTGATTAGCCAGCCGTGTATAACAAATGTCCTACCCCTTTTTGTTCCTTTTTCTCATCCATCTACTAGGAAAAAGTTCCGAAAACCAAAATTCAATTTCATAATGTCATAAACTTTATAACAGAGGAGACCCCGACCCAAAAAAAATCCAACAAAAAAAAAAAGAGAGAAAGTCCTGCACGCAAATCGCAAATCGCAAA